CATACTGTATGCTTGTGGTTGCAGTTCTCCAACTTTCTCAAAATGAATGTACAAGTACATTATGTGCGTTTGATTAGTGTAACAGCTCATTTTGTACAGTTTATTACTCTGTTTCTGTTGCATTATTAATATCATGGCTGTTATACAGCATATTGACTTACAATTCTTGGCTTGCTTCCTGGCGAGATGGGTTTTTTTTTCAGATACACAATCGTTACTATCCTTCAAATGGAGTAAAATACTCCTTTGAGTACAATGAAGCTTCTGCTCAGTGCAAAGTTGGTATTTAAAAAGTTAACTTTTTAATTGACTTCCGCATAGCCAATACACTATTGTTACAATACCTACAGTTCTGAGCAGTTTGCAAAATAACAGTCTTCTTTTGAATTATTAAAAAATGCTTTATTTGAATAAAAATGTGGTTGAGGTCTATGACTAAAGGTTACTGCTGCCTTTTTCTATGCAAAATGACACGACACTGCAGTTATATGTCTATTTCTTTATAAAGATGTTATAAAACACTCTGGAGGAGACAGACTCACAACAAGGCTATGATATTAAATCTTTTGGGTGTTTATATAATGACCTTGATTCTCCAAAGTACAAGAAGAGTTAATATTAAGGACTGTGCATATAAGCCACTTTCTAAGTGCCATATTTTATAGATTATATAGACTAATAATACTCAGAATTCCCATTCCAATTTTTATGTTTGGCAGTATGTTATTTTGTGTTGTCAGTGCCTACAATCATATCTTTCTCTTTTAACATTATACATTATACATTAATGTTATTTTTTCTTTCCTGGATTAAATACAACAGCACATGAATAGTGTTTGAGATTCAGTTATCACATCTGTTTGAAATGTGTCTTTATAATGTTTATTATTACATTTGCTAGATCCCTTTGTCCTTGCTTCTCTTTGACCAGCTGGAAATATGTGAAGCAAGAATTATTCGGAAGGCCTTTTAATTTAAATCTGGTTACCACTGAATGGCATTAAGAAAGGTTTCTTCAGATCATACAGTGTAATCAAGGGATTATTTAAATCCTTTGTTAGGTATTCTGAACCTTCTTGTTAGAAGCAGTATTTATTGATCTCACTGAATCTGGCACCATGCTTATAGCCATTTTTTTGTTTAACGTTCTGTGGTACTTATCTTAAGTTAACCAAATTTTCTGGTTTTGCTAACATTTTTCTATACAGCTCTTTCAGCTGAGTTTTCTGTAAATCCCTTGTTAAAAACCGTAAGACTGTGGGTAGGTAAACTCATTCATATAACATCTGCCTGAAAGATGTTCTCTGAGATTGATTGTTAGGGTCAGGAAGGGTTAACATGCATGAAGTTGTTGAATACCTTGTTCAGACTTTTAGGACATCTTATTTTGGGCTTGTCAATCAGAAATATAAATATACCTTCTGAATAAATGTTTTGCTTTCCTGGGAGAGAATGGAAAAAATTCCTCTGGAGTTTTTATGGGAGGTAATCATCTCTGGTTTCGTTGTTGTTTCATCAGATGAGAGTTCCACAATAAATAATCCTTAACTCTCTGTCATCAATATCTTTCCAAGTATTGAACACAAGCAAAACTGTAGTTATACTTTCTACAGTATAGTACTTGGAATGTTGCAAATGACAAAGCAAGAGTATTAGGCTTTAGCCAGGTAATCTCCCTCAAGAAAGTACGTAGAAAAGTAGTGCTTTATTCTTATATATCACTATTCATACCAAAGTTTTCTGGGTGATCTGGGTGATCAATCAATTTCAGTGCATCCCAGCATAAAAGCAAATTGTAGAATAACAGAATTCTTCTGTTCTTACACACACCTGTACTTACACCTTCAGCTGTGTTATTAAACTGCCATTTTTGGCTCAATCCCCGAATCCCAATTGTATTGAAACCTGGTGGGACACATGGATCACTTAAGGTGCAAACAATGTCCTGCAAACATTTCAGACCCCTGTAGAATATGTTTTGTATTCTGTCCAAACTGTTTTTGCTTCTTGCAGATACCCAAAAGTTTCTGTTTTCTGTCTGTATTATGTAAATACCATCTTCAGAGCACTTTGTACTTAAAAAAAATAAATGTATTCCATTGAAGTTAACATTGTGAAGTGAAGTGAACATTTGTTTTTTATCAGAAATGGGTTCATTGTAATATACAACAACTGGAACTACATGAATATTTCAGCCTGTAAGCAACAACTTTTGTTTTTAAAGGTAAGGCGATCTCAAAGTCTTTAAATTTCACTGATTTCCAAAGCTGATGAACGCACTTTATCAAATTAAATTGCTTTATGTTTATGTTTTTTTCTAATATTTTTCATTTCATTTGTCCATACAAATATCTAGTATTGGGACATGGATAAAAATCTTGTAGCTTCTGACCTTTGATCGCAATCTTTCAACATAAATACCAACTTTTATTTATGGCATCCATTAACCACAAATTGACTTTCAGTTTGCAGAACACATGCACATGAAGAGGCCAAGAGAACCATAGAATGTCAGAAAATATCATAATAAATGGAGGTTTTTTCTTGATGTGGTTTGCTGTCAAAATTTCTACATTTAGTGTTCAGTGAAGACTACTCTTTGAAAAATAAGTTCATAAGTGAAGAACTGAACACTGTAAGTGATAAAAGCATGGCATGAGAACGCATTTTCAAATTATTATCACTTAATTATAGGACCTTCTTGTAGGAACAGCAGTTGATTAATTTCCGTGCATTCCATCTGCACAGAAAAGTTATTTCTTACTCCCCATTGAGTTCTTAGTGAGCTCACTTCACTCAAGTCAACAAGCAACAATTATTCCTCAAGCAGTCCATATGTGAGATACTGCCTTGCAGAGTGGAAGAGTGTGAAAACGACATTAGTAATGGCCTTTGACTGTGGTATTCCTGGACGTTTCCAATGATGTGTTAATTTTCTCAGCCTCTCCATCAAGCCCAGGTGAATTCCGTTATCTGTGGAGTCAGGAGGTCAACGTCTGACTCCCGACACGCAGAATTCTTCGAATGGGAAGAAGCCTTGAGGAATTGCTTCCTTCCAGTCCCCTTTACCCTGTCAGTTGTGCCTGCACTGGTTCTGCCTTCTGTTTCTACGAAAAGAAAACAACACATTCACAGCTGTGCTTCCTACGGTGTTGGTTGATTCTATGTTTTATTTTTCCCACTGTGTTTCGGTCAGTTTCATATAAAACAAATATGAAAGCTCAAACTTAAAAAGATGAAAGCATCTAAGAAAAGGAAATTAAAATGTGAAACCAAACCATTGGATGTTTTGAGGTTGACCTTGTAGCGTTTGCTAAAGGATTTCATTTTGACTGTATTTATTGTGGATTTCTTAATTGACCTTGGAATCTCAACAACGGTATCTTCTTCAAAGAGGTAGTCAAAAGCATTATGAAATGTTGTTTATTTTTCTGTAGTATTGTTAAACTTTACTTTTAAAAACAGGAATTTGTAAAGCATTTTGAGAGGACTGTTACCATTAAAAGGCACCCTATAAAATGGATGTATTTTCTCAGAAAAACACAGGGTCACTATTTATGAAATGTGTTGAGAAAGTGGAGTGAGAGCTGTTCTTGAGAATCTGGTTCTGTACATAAATGTCTAACAACCTTGGAGACATCTTGGCGATATCTTTGTAGTGTTATAAATTGTGCTCAAGGCAAGCAGTTGTCCTGAGAAGATGCAGTAGTTATACAAATATTGAACTAATTAAGAAAAGGAACATTTGAACAAATTCTTTAAAATAGTTTGCATCATGAAAGTAGAAACATTTGGTTTTCTAGTTTCCTGGTGGTAGAATTCTGAAGTTAGTGAAGAGCTGTTAAATGAAAACAAGGAATATTTGGCATTTGTTTTCTTTCTTGGCATTGCTATAAAAATGCAACATTTCAGTTTGCTTCATACAAGTAACAAAAATCAACTGGAGAATAAAACAGAGCTAAAATGTATTTATGTATTTATATATTTATATAATGTTGTTTTTATTTTAATTTTTTAATTTAATTTAACATAATCAGTTTTGTAGTTCTGCTCATTAACTGTTTGAAATTCAGATGGCTTTTCACAATATGGCTAAGGAATGTTACACATCTTTTTATTATATTAGAATTGCCCTCTTACCACCTGCACCTTTAACTTTGTTTCCACTGGAAAAAAGTCCAGACAGCATAAGATGATTATTCAGTTGCTTTGTATGGCCTGGTTGTGAATTTAGGATGAAGCTTTTAATAAGAAAGCTTTAAAAAATTTGGTTAATTCTTTGTGTGTTAGATTGCAACAGCTTTTTGTGTATTGAAATACATTTTTTTTTCACATATTGTGAGTTTGGTATGAGATCTTGATGTATTAAGAAAATTTGAACAGAACAGGGGGCCTTTACATTATGTAATTTTTTTTTGTAAGCAGACTGCTCAGACATTGGTTTCTTCTAGTTCATTTATCTAGTAGGTGAGTTATATGATCCACTGAAGCTAAGCAGGGTTGAGCCTGGTCAGTACCTGGATGGGAGATCTCCTGGGAAGCTATTTTTGCTGCTGGAGTTGGTGTTAGTGGGACCAGTGGGTATAGTTGCTGGGACGCTATACTGTAGTGGGTGCCATCTTTCGGATGAGACGTTAGACCGAGGTCCTGACTCTCAGTGGTCATTAAAGATCCCCAGGCATCTCTCGATAAGAGTAGGGAGTTATCCCAGTGTCCGGGCCAAATTTCCCACATCGGCCTTTACCGTAGCCTCCAAATTGTCCCCATGTATGATTGGCTTGCACTTGCCCTGTGATGGACTGACGCCCCGCCACATCAAGGGTGTATCCTGCCTTGTGTTCGTTGCTTGCCGGGTAGGCTCCGGCTTCTCGCGCCACCGTATGGTAAAAAGTGCTTTGGCAAATGACATGACATGATACATGAGTTATATGAGAATTATGTTTAAGGTGCTCGTTCATTGTGGTTTAGCTTTTGGTCAGTTGAACTTCTTCTCATTCCAGGAGACAGCAGAGGCCACCAGGAGGGGGCAAATCCCAGAATCCTCAGCCGCAGCCGCAACAGCAACAACAGGCGCCATCGCAGCAGCATCAGCAACAAGTCCCGCAACAGCAGCAGCAGATTGCAGAGCACCCCCAGAGCAACACGAAACACACCCGCCAGTATCAGGGGCCAGGCTCTCACTCCTCAGGGAGGCAGGGCCCCGGTCACCATGGCTACAGCCAGAACCGCCGTTGGCACCACAACCAGAAGCACGCAGTGGGACTTGGGGGAGCTGGTGACAAGGAGATGCCCTTGAGCGGCATCAGAAACGCCAAAGAGACTGAGAGCACGAAACCTGAGGAGCCCGTCCTCTCCAAGCCAGAACCAGAGTTTGACGGTGGTCACACTGAGGGTCCCAGTCAGCCCCAGCAGTCAGAGGGAAGGCGCAAGGACAGCCATCCAGACAGACCGAAAGTCAATCTACTTCAGTCCTCCAAGGAGAGATTGAGGAGAAGGCTAAAAGAGAAGGTTATCCCTTTCCCTTTATGCACAGGCAGCTGCCTCAACCTTTTGCCTAGATTAGGGCGGTTTGAAGAATTCAGAGCTTTACATCATATAGAAAGAAACATCAAAGGCCACAGCTATTACAGCTTTCCCACAGTCCATGTTAAAAGAAACATTCAGGTTACATTATTCTAGGTTGCTGATTTCCCCTAATGCTGCTTTATCTTTTATAGATTAAAACAAATAGACCATAATGCATGCAGAAAATCAAGACAAACCAGCAATGTGGTTTCATGAAATTGTTGCCACAGTCTGGAACAATTATAACACGCCCTTGTAATTTCCCTTTGGCTTCACTAGAGACAAAATCCAATGACAGTGATTAAGTTTTTTTTTTTCACCATTCAGGTTGTGCTACCTGTAAATGAAAAGGAATAAATAATAACGAAGCCATGCCAGGCAGAGTGGCTTGACTCGGCACAGGCTGGGAACTGCTACCCTTTGCATTTTGCATGTTTTATGTTGCACTTGGATGAGAAATGTATCTGCTCTACTTGTTATCAGTTCAGCAGGTTTAATTCAATTTGCACAGGATTATTAAAGAGTCTTGCTGCTGTGGAACATTACTATAAAGTCGTTTATGAATTCAGGGATGAATGAGGTGGCAATCATAAAAAGGTACTTCATCATGTGAACTGCAAACATCCAGACTGCTTTGGGATTAAGACCTAAAGGCATCGTGAGTTGCCTTCCTCAGAGCAGGGTAATTTATCTTGGAATTTTGTATGTAGTTTCTTTTCTACATTATCTTTTGAGTTGCAAATAAGATGTCTTCAGTCTCATGATTAATTGCTCTTAGGTCGCTGTGTGTGCCAATAAATAATTTTGTGAAACTTGCTCTACCACTGAAACATATATAAAGATCGCTCTTGGAATTATGGTTGTCTGACCAAAATGTGTAGCATGTGGGGAGGAAAAAGGCTGAATGAGCTCAACTCTTTTCGCAGGATGAAATCCCTGTGGAGACCACAAACCCTCATAGGAGCCGCATGGACAAGCTGATCGAGATTCTTAACAGCATGCGCAACAACAGCAGCGACGTAGACTCCCAGCTCACAACCTTCATGGAGGAGGCGCAGAACTCCACCAACTCGGAGGAGATGCTCACGGAAATTGTCAGGACCATCTACCAAAAGGCTGTGAGCGATCGCAGCTTTGCCTCCACCGCTGCCAAGCTATGTGATAAGATGGCCCTGTTCATGGTGCAGGGGACGAAGTTCAGGAGCCTCCTACTCAATATGTTACAGGTAGGTTGAGGAAGCCCAGTGCTTTTAAGGAAGAGACCTTTTTTGGACCAAGGGCCACATAACATTTTGAAACTGTCTAGAGGGCCACTTCAGGCTACTGTTACAGATAGCACTATATAAGTTTAAAGTCCAACGTAGGCTTATTAGTTCAAGGTTAACAATAACCTGAGAGAAAAAAAATTTAAATATAAAAAAAATAAATATTGAATAAAACTTGACATTTGACTCACAAGCCAGTGATCACTGATGACCTCGACCCAACGGGTAACTGTTCTACGTGATAAACTTATTTTCTCAAATTTGCTCTCTGGACAAAAAATATCTACAGTTCCTATCATACACTCCTTCAAAAGCTCCCCTTTGGAAAACAGCTTGCTTTGTTTAGCAATTTTATACGAAGGCAGGTAGCTTGCCTTTTTGCTGGCCTCTACTGGATAGTGGAAGGGCGGAAAAATACATTTTGCTGAGCCTGTAAACTAGAGGCTAGTTTGGAAGCTCTATTAGCCCGCTCCTCGCATTACAGATTGCTAGCATAGTTAGCATGTTTGGTAGAAAAATGCCAACTGAGGTTGTATTCTTTGAACACTGCGACACTTTCCTTACAAATTAAACATACTGTTTAGCCTTTGTTCCAACCTCTGTGAAAAAGTATTTTGCAGTCCCTTCTTTGTTGAACACTCTGCATTCACTGTCAACTTTCTGCTTCTTCATTCAGCTCATTTTGGCACAGGTTCCCTCACAGTATGATGGACCCACTCTAACTGGTGAATCAAATTGGTAAAGCAGGGGTTCCCAAATTTTTTTTGTAAGTTCTATGGCAGTGTGATATTTTACAAAAGATTATAAATTTGAAAAGGAAATGATGGGTCAAAATAAAAATAAAGTTGATCCAATTTTTATTCTTTTTAATTATTTTCAAAACCAAAAATACTTGATCAAAATTTTAAAAATACCTGACAACACATTTTATTGAAATTATTTAAATGTGAAGACAATTTGAAATAAATTAAAAAATAGTCAACATCCTTTTAAAATGCAAATAAAATGACTTAGAAAAAGTAAATATTCAACATTTTTTTAAAAGGGGGAGAAATACAATGTCTTTTTGTTTGTTCCTCTTAATGGGTAAGTGGGCTTGTTTACTAATGTTAACATAATTCACCAAAAATACTGGGTAGTATTCTTGAAATGGCAAAGTGCATCTCCTTCTCAACATTGACTCTGATCTGATCTGAAAACCCAGCTTCATAAAGGCTGGAAAAAGCAGCTTTCTGTTCATTCATTTAACTTGCGCGAAAAATACTCACGTGGCTTACTTATCAAACTACTTTGAACAGTTTCTAAATGACGTTTTGATTTATTGGGGAGCATGCTCTCAGCAGCCAACACTTTAAGGCAGACAACACACTGAGGACATTCTTCAGCGTCCACAATTGTGCACGTGAAACCGAAATTCAAGAAACTGTCGTCATACGTTCTGCATTTGCACTTCTGTTTCTCTTTAGAACTAGGCTCCGTGTCACGTTTTTTACTCATATTTAAAAACCTCTCAATTGCGATCGTGTAACAAAAAACTCACAAAATGGCCACTCATAGAAACATGAAACACCGAAGCCGCAGTTAACTGGTACACTGCTTACAGACGGCCGACACTCATGGCCAGTGTCATGTGACACAATCTAGCTAGGTAGCGCGCGACTCGTACATTCTGTGTGCACGAACAGCGGGTTTTGCTCGTAATAAAATTTTCTTTGACTGGGGATACCTGAGACGCCCCTGACCGATAATGGCGCCTCCCCAATGTAGTGCGATACACAGTTTGGAATTACTATGGTAAAGCGTTCATGCACCATCTAACGGCACAAATAATAAAATGTAAGAATAAACAGCACCAAACAAAGTTACAAATGAATATGGCACACATTGAGTCATTTATGGGCCAGTTAAAACTGGCTGGCGGGCCATAGTTTGCCCACAGGTACCTTAGAGCATCACGGGAATAATGCAGCAGGGTCTGTGTTTCTTGGTCTCCGACATAGTCATCTTTGTGATTATGGACATGGAGCTATAGGGCTATATTTATACTTGCCTCACATTTGCAACAAAGTAGAACATTTCACTATTATTTTTTTCCCTACACAACAAACCCTAAACAAAAAAAAACTCATGGTGTTATACTGTTGGTTTAAAGCAGAACTGAGGATTAATTTTGTTTCGGAGGCATAATCACATACCCCACTGTTTAATCTTAAAAATTATATTCTGAGCTACTGTATTTAAGCATGAACTGTCTTCAGCAAACTGTAAACAAGATCTGCCTTAGCATGATGTCACTGCTGCAATTCTGTAGTGAATGAAACTGTAGGGCTGCAGCCAGGGCCAGTTCTAGGACAGGGTTAAAGGTGTCATGGCAACACAAGGTCTGGACAGCAGGTCTCATTGCAACATGAGGCAGATCCAAGTGCCTGTTAGCAGTGCTAGAGAAGGATTGATGATGGTGGATGATGAACTGGATAAACTGAGAAAGGACTGATGGGGTGGATGGTTACTTGGATAAACAGAGGACACAGTTTTAAACTCACACATATGAATACTGCGAATAAGGAATGCCCAAGGACCTGAAGAGGCCTGAAGTATTTTTTGGACCATAAGAGACCTGACTGTAGTAATAGTTTTATTGGATTAAATGTGTCACCTCATGTGGTTGACATAGGTAATCAAAAACTGCTTTTGCTACTGTCAAGACATTTCACATCATGACATATAAGTCAGAAGAACAACTGGGGTTGTGTTACTAGAAAATGATTTAATAGAAAAATAGTGTCATACGTCCTCTATTTTACTCCAGTTCTTCTGTTCAATCCTGCATTGAACCATTCGTCATCAAGGTCTTGAAGTTGTGACTTCAACACACAGTACAAACATTTTGGTATTTTTTTGAAAACGTCACACAAATGCTTTCACAATTTGCTGCTTTGATTGCACTTTAGTGATAGTGATCTGTCAGGAAGATGTGCTTGGGTAGTGCAGTACAGTATGTTCATGGTTTTCTTGTCTGTTCCCTGGGAAGTAGAAAATGTTAATTTTAAGATTTTTATTTGTTTATTAATAGTTTTGGAATGATAATCCTAGTATGTACATTAGAAATAAGTGATTTAAATAAGTGATTGAAGTGATTCTGCCTTGTCCTGACAGTGAATCCTCATTTAAAGTCAGAAGATTATTACATCTCTCCATTTGAGTTGTGTAGTGCTGCTCAAGCACACACATGGTTTAAAATCTAAATACACTGTATATATTTTGGATTCTTTGTTTTTCATTAGATAATCCAAGTGTATGGTAAATCCTCAATACTGGAGATCATTGGGTCAGACTGTGGAAGGATTGCACATTGCAAGGGAATCTGTAATGTGAACAGTCTTTCTTCAGTTTCTTGGAATTGGTGGTGGAATTGTATGGGTAGTTTTGCTAGGAAGCATCCTCGGATGGGTCACATGTAGCCCTTACACCCTGTCTGTATAATACATTTAACTCATAATGGAATGTTAAAAAAATGGAATTTGTGTCTTTTGTCCACAATTCACATCATATTTGTCACATGGATAATCTTGTTGACTTGTTGTGCTTACTTGACCACTAAACTTTTGATAGGATCTTTAGGCTCACAGATCATTTAACACTTTGTTTAAAAACAAGATTTTTAAAGCAGTTGCTAATTCTAGAGATGCTCTTTTTGTCTTGGGTTAGATGGTGAAAAGGAAGTAAAAGTCTTGAACCTCATTCATATCTGTACTGGTACCAATCTTTTCAGAGCACTTCTGCCTTTCATCCTACCTTTGCCTTCACTGGCATAGTCTTGTTCATACAACATTGAAACTTCCAACACGGTTTGTCCAGTTTGCTGGTTACAGGAATGTTTGCTAGTTTGTCTTTCATTCTTAGCTGACATCAATTACTCCTTTTCCTAATAGAGCTTGTAGGGAAAATGTCTCTCAGTTGCAAGAAAACGTTGTGGCTGTCAGTATCTAAAAAAGCAGGAGGCTAGAACATGGTGTCTGACCCTGCAACTAATCTGTCTGCTGACCCAGAAAGCCATTGGGAATCTCCTGAGTATTTGATTATTTGCTGATGGCTTTTTGTTTGCGAGTGATATGGATTTGAATGTAATTTTACTGGAAGCGTACCCACAAGAAGAAAGGCTTGGTTGACATCATCAACCTATATGATCATCGTAATCTCAGAGGTCTCAATCAGGTTTGGCTTGCGTGCTTAACTAAATGTCAAACTACCTGCGTATGACATTTTCTTGTTTTTTTCCTTTTCTTGTCAGCAAGTGTACGCAGAGAAGAAGATAAACGATTGTTTTGTTTAAGGGCTGATGAACCGAATATAAAGCTTAGCTTTTTTTTAAGTTATGTGCTTTCAGGAGAAGGATGTGTCTACAAAACCAAGAAGTTAATTATGGTTATATAAATATAGAGGCTTAGACATTTAGTGGCATTCTCATACAGCATTTTATACCATCCTAAGCCTAATGTTAAGTTTACTTTTTACAAATATTGAAATATAAGCTCATGTTGACACTGATCCTTCAAACACCACCCAGAATGACTTACCTGGCATAGTAGTACTTCATTAGAACTAAACAGCTGAGAAATTGATTTGCCATATTGAATAGGGGCCTTAATGAGTAACTGTCTTAAATGAACTTGTCATTTAACAGACAAGCCCAGACACTGAGTAAAATGGCACACTCTGGTGATCCACTAGGCATGTGGGTTTACTTTGTTAAAGAAGATTATAAGGTTGTTTTTTTTGGAGACCTCACGAAATACTTTTCTGCATAAAGTCCTAAAAAACAAACTACCAAAGAACATCATTTGCTTAGGAGCCGAGTCAATTTCTACCTCTTTGTGATTTAACTTTTACCAAACTAAAAAAAAGGCATTTTGTAGTAGTCTTTGAAATCTATATATCACATCAACATACTTATTTCATTT